GGTTCTGTGAAAGGGTATCAGACCACTCTTCACAACAGTGCCCATCAATGAAAGAGCACATCATTTAGTGAGGGAAGGAGGGGGACATGGAGATCTGACCTCCCCCAGAGGACTGCAGGGAAACCCAACTGCTTGCACAGAGGCAGCTTTTTTCTCCTTGTTCTTCCTCATGGTGAACTTCCCCGATAAGACAGGGGTGGTCCTATTGAACCAGTTGCTGACAGCTTTTTGTGCCACTACTACCAAATCCGTCCTAACACATTTTTCAAGGGTAAATCTAAACGTTTCCTGACATCATTTTGTTGGCGTGCCAAGGCTTAGCGTCTCCTTATCATGAGGAAGCAGTTTGCTTCCAAGGGGCAGCCCCGATGACCAGATTGCCCTGGTCCTCAGCTCCCTTCTGATTAACACCCCTCCAGAAGGAGCGAATATGCAGCAGGGCAGGAGGGTGTGTGCTCTGAGGTGCCATTTATGAAAGTACTGTCAGTGTATGACTTGGTCTTTTATATTGATTCACGTTATTACATCACTCTGGTGACCGAATGTCCCAGATAGAGATGAGGTTTTATTACACTAGATTTTGTCATGCAAGACACATTTTTTTCCCAGTCTTTTGGCCTCATTCACTGCTTTATCCTGTTCAACGTCAGTCAGCGGGCAGTTTGCTGATGATCTCAGTGAGAATAAGAGCAAGCCAAATCATCACCACAAATCCAACTTGCGGTGTCTCAGAAAAGCGCATCCTCGTACCGCCAGGATTCTTGCGTGGATCCGATGTGTCTGTCATCGAAAGGTCACAAACGCCGCCGAGGAAACTGTCTTACCGGGGCTGATGGAGTCACACTCACCTACACAAGGGTGAGGGGCTCAATCCAGGGCTCAATCCAGTGGGGTGGCCGCAGCCAGGACCTGGCCCAGGGGGTGCACAGCCGAGCCGCGGGTCTGGGTCCCGCACGCCCGGCCCCCGCAAGAGGTGGCTCCGCAGATAAAATAGGACGTGAACGTAATGGGTATCTAAAAGGGGATCATCAGGTGGCGATAGTTCGACGGTGAGGGAAGTGCTCGTTTCAGGCTGCAGGAACAGACAGTGCTGCTGCCAGTGCTCCCAGAACGGCTCCCCACACCCGCAGGGGAGACCCCCGGGACACCTCCGGGATGAGGGGCACCCGGTCCCTCGGGGGAGCAGGCGCCTTGTTGGCACTCGGGCTCCTTCAGTACCCTTCTGAGAGGAACCTCAGGCCTTTGGCTGACATGGTGCTGCAACCGATAGACCTTAAAGAAGTTGGTCGCAGTATACCGTACTGGTGGGAACTCAATTCCATAGGTGTATTTGTCCGGTACATATACTATTTAAGCTGATTTGACTCTAGCTACACTATGGTGAACTTTGTGGCACAATTTAGATTGTTGATTTTAAAAGTTTTTATAGTGTGATCTCTTGGTTACCTCAGAGCATTGCAAAAGACTTAATGGCTTCAGAAGTCAAAAAATAAATGCATTTTATTTGAGCTCTGTGCTAATGCAGAAAAACTTGAATAAGTCACGCAAGGAAGATATAACGCATTTCCACAGCATAGGCAACAGTACACCGTTAATGTGGCGGGATTTTTTCAACAAGTTTTTTCATTTCTTTTCTTTGATAAATAATGCAATCAAGAAATTCAGAATAGCTAGTAGGAGTGTTGATTTTGACAAGCAGTTTTACTTGAAAAATAATTGTAGAAGTTTCAAGATGTAATATTACATCCAGTCGTTTTCTAAATGGTCTACTGTGACTGATTTCAGTTTTAAGTTGTTTCTTCCACTGCCCAGCGTTGCTGTTAGCTGCTTCATGCCCCACATTTCCCATCCTGTGCCGTTGGGCTTGCTCAGCACTGCAGCCCTACATGGCTGCGCCTGTTAGAGACTGGATCACAGATGCAGATGATTTCCAGAAAGTCCTATGAAGGAAGTGAGACTTACAGACCCTACAGTAAAATCCCTAAGCTGTACCAGGAGCCGTTAATTAGGCCTCCTCAGACTATCTCATCTATAGGTTTTATCTGGGCATTCTCAAAGCATACTTATCAGTTGACACCTGTGTGGTTATAACACTACACTTCTTCCCTCAACATGAGAAAGAAGTTGAATTAGGAATGATTTTCTAAAGAAAAAAATGAATGTGGAACTTTAACAAATCCAATTTTGTCTTACAACCCCAACGAAGGACTCCTAGTTAAGTTGTCCAGCAGAGATCAAGATGGAAGGGGTTGCTGGAGCCTGACCTGAAGCCCATTCTGTTGATCAGATGCTAAATGCTAAGAGTAACTAATTTTTCCCAGCTGTGGAGCTACACAAGGGAACTCTATTTTAGCAGAGTTACTGTATTTTCAAAATCTTTGCAAGATGAGGAGAAGCTTAGCAGAAGTTCTCTAGATGAGTTGTGTCTGTGGTAGCTTCTATTTGCCTGTTTCTCTGTCTTTTGGGACTAAAAGTAATTTACCCTGGGGTTTGTCTATTGATGCACAGCACACAGATACCAGTATTTTCACATACAGATAAAATATGGAGCAGCAAATAAGACAATTCATTCTGGTAAAAGGCAGAAATGGTATTCTTAAAATAAGGCTTAAAATATTTATGTTCTTCTGTGTAATTTCCTCTAGACTTTGGCACTGAGATATCGCCCATTCAGACTACTGCACTGGGTAATTTTCCTTTCCATCTCTTTTATATTGCCAGCAAGTACCATTAGATGTCAATATAGAGATAGTTTTATGTCCTAAAATAAAATTCTGTTTTTATTTTGTTCTCTTTCTCTGCTATAAAGATAAGAGCTCTCTCCTTCACTCCTAGTCAGTCTAGAGAGACTATGAAATGATCTTTCCTTTCCTTGATCAAGTCAAGGACATTTCCTTTGCCTTACTGTTTCCTAGACTATGAATTGCTTATTCATTTTCTTGATTCTTATAATCAGATCCATTTGATTTTCACCGTTTTTCCCATTTGATATCTCCACTTTTATTTTATTAAAGCAATTTTCTGGAGGAGCTACACAAAAAGAAGCAGAGTGAAGTCATTTATGCTGGAGATGAACTTGAGACAGACTGGTAGATCCAGCTGCCTACTTCGTGTCACCCTTGTGCACATATGCAAAGGTCTCCAACTGATTGAACTCACAGCTCTGCAGCTCAGACCAACTCTAAACCTGAAAAATTGCAAGATATAGCTCAGGACACTAGTTAGAGAGCTTTTTAAAGAGACTCTGAACGAAACAGCTCCTTATAGGAAGTTATTGTTCTGCCTAACAGATTTGTTCCCATATCTTGAATGTGTGCCTATTTGTCATCTCTTTGTGAAGTTCAGGTTTTTTGCCATTGCAAGGAAGACGCGACTGATGAAATCAGTGAAATTGATATAGCTGTGTCTCTGTTCTCACTTTTCCCAAAAGCACCATCAGATATTTTTTTTCTGGAGAACTGAGAGGAGTGGAAATTATTATCTTCCTTGCATATTAGGAAAAAATTTTTTACCATGAGAGTTGTAGAACACTGGAACAGGTTGCCCAGAGAGGTGGTGGACGCTCCATCCCTGGAGACATTTAAGGCCAGGTTGGACAAGGCCCTGAGCAACCTGATCTAGTTGGAGATATCCCTGTTCCTTGCAGGGGGTTGGACTAGATGACCTTTGAAGGTCCCTTCCAGCCTTAACCATTCTATGATTCTATGATTCTATGATTCATGGCAGTTAAAGGGATGATGCAGTTGTTGCACTAAGGCAGAGACAAGTGGTGTGGTTTCAGCGTTGCTCATTAAGAAGGTATCAATTACCCAAGGGAATTATTGGCCTCTCTGTAGCGTTTTTTATAAGCTTATGAACAGAAAGAGGCATTTTACTAACTCTGCTGAATAAGGTAATAGGAATAGGTAATTGCTGACGAGGACGCTTTTTAATCAGCATAGAAGTAGAGATTGCTTTTGAATACTGAGCTACTCATTCCTATGCTTATGGGTGAGCTCCCATTTTGTTCATGATTCTGCATCAGGGATTGACATTATAAAAAATAATAACATTTGACATAACATTAATGACATAATAACAGTCAAATAACATTTAAGTTACATAATGGGGTCAACTGGAAACCTGATTTCTGTTCTAAGGCTTTATGTTGTTCCTTGTAGAGTCTGACCATGTCTTCCTCAGAACTTTGCCATTGCTGGCTTTTAAATAATTCAGTTGTCTCTGCGGAGCTGTTTGCAAAGCTGAGTACTGCTCTGCATGAGAAATAGTGAAACTGGTACCGTAAGTATGTGACTTAAATGTACAGCCAGGTGCTTTATTTTTCCATGAATTTATGTCTACTCATTCTCTATTAGATGCTGCAGGTGAAATAAAACAGCAATTATCACACAATTTCTTTGAAAACACTGCTAGCATAGCACTGTTACAATACTGTTTCATTTCAAGGTACTTTCTTTATTAATTTAATTTCAATCAAGCATATATCAGCTAAATTAGAAAAAGAAACTGTTTTTATTAGCCAAATCAACAATAACCCATTAGTAATTGCCCTTAACAGCAGGAAGGAATTTCATTGCAGAAAACAACAGACCTGTCATTCAGTTGCATAAACTCTCCTTGCGGGAAGCTGAGTACCGATTAATTTCACTCCGAACAATTACTTTGCTTCTTATCGCCATGGTTTGCTTAATACATCAGAAGGAATGTGAAGATTCATTAAAGTTTTTTAAGTACATTTCACTGTTAAAAGTCATGCATTAAAACTCATTTGTTTCCTACCACAAAAAAGATATAGATTAATTCCAGTAAAAGCACTAGCTGAGTGCCACAGTGAATTACAACAGCTTCTGGCAGGACAGGAATATTGCAGCTAAGAACACATGAACGTTCTCATTTCTCTGGTAGATTTTTCCATAATCTTTGTTTGGATGTGTTGCTTTTGATGTGCAGACTGTGCTCCAGATTTGCTTTGGTTGTCTGGAATCAACATCTCACCACTATCAGGTGTCGGGTTGCTGGTGATTGCTCAGTATGGGACAAGGTGCTTCCCCTTCAGTAGAAGACAGGATTGTGCTGAATTGAGGCAGCGAAATAGGATGAGGAAGGAGGGGATATATTTAGCTTTGCACTTATATACTGTATGTCAGTGAGAAATCGTTATACTTCCGAACTAAATTTTTATTAAAAAAAAAAAAAGCTTAATAATATTGAATTAATCCAGTGGTGAGTCAGAATTTACGCTGCCACATAAGTACTGAAACAAACAATGATCTTTGAATATTCTATTCACCCCTATATTCAACTTAAGACAGTGGTACCACTGAGTTATCAGCTATGTAAAAAAATCTGAGTTTTCATAAATCAAAAATATCATTAATTGTGAAAGTAAAAAGCAATGCCTTAGAACTAATTCAACTTTGCTTTAAACATTGCTTTTTATGTTAAACTATTTATACCTAATTTCTGTCTCTTGAATGCACCAGTTAACACCTTGTATGAATGCTAAGGATCCTCATAATACCCAACTCATTTCTACATGCGTGCTTTTTATTTTCAAAGATTCAAAGTACTTAACTAGCCTTATCTGGAAAGATATTAATTCAAACACCTTTGAAAGGACAAGTGGCAATAATTTAACTGCATAAGATGGTTTCATAAAATCTTAGAATGGGAAGAATACTTACTTCAATAAGGCCAATGAGTCCTACAGACATTATTAGGAAATAATGCCATAATAAAGCAATTGGTACAGCTCCTAAACACTCTATGGTGGAGAACTGAATGGAGAACTACACTCTGGCTATTTGATTTTATAGCACATCACAAAACTCCCTGCTCAGGCAAGTTTTTGGCTAGGATTTAATGACAATATGAATTTCTTTTGGAGAGTCTTGTAGGAATGAAGATGAGAAGAACTCAGCTTCCTGTCTGGCTTCTGCTTTGGGAAACACAGCATTGTAAGGAAGTTGAAATAAGCAAATAGCCTTTCCTGGAGCAACAGAAGCAAATCCACCAATCTGAAGTCATCTTATCTTGATTCCCACAAGACTTTGTGAGATATGAGTAGCCTAACTTGGCTTAGGAAGAATTGTAAGTGTTTATTAAAAGCAATAATGTGGTGTAAAGGTAGTACTCATTTTACAGTAAAAATGAGACAAATAAACCTAATGAAATGCAGCAATGCAATGTAAAGCGATAATGTTCCTGAAGCTAAAAGACAAGAAGGGTCTTGTTCCTTGTAACACTGTACTTGCTCTGAGCTGATAATAATTGGCTCTTTAAGGATCATCCAGATGACACTCTCATGGAGGGGAGAATGAGTCAGAGAGCCATTGTAGGTCCAGTAATCCAAGGATTTAGGCAGTAGGTTTGAAGGATCAAAATCAGAAAAGGGAGCTTGCTTACCTTGTGGAAGATACTCTGGCTTAATGAAACCCATGAGTAAGACAGGATTTACATCTCAGGCTACAAGAGAGTGTGTTCCTAAATCAGAGGAGGTAATTTCAAAATGTTAGTGTTTTCTCATAGCATCAAAGGTGAGTTGCTCATCCTGGTGATAAGTTTGACACTGAAATACATCTAGGCTGGCAGCACTGAAAATAAGCAGTGTTACTCTAAAAAACCAAACAAAACCCAACTTCCTCCCAAATGGTATCAGATAACAAAGAGTTCTGTCATTACTGGCTAGAGTTGTGTGGGTGTTTTTTTTCAAAATACTGAACTCTGTGCTCCTGAACAAGCGAAAAAGCTTTAGCGTATAATTAATTTTCAGCTGTCTGTTGAGGCTAAAGGGAGGATCCACACACGTTGGTAATGGTTGCATGTTCAGGGCCAAAGTCTACATTCCTTTCTAAAATGCTGTGAGAGATGCTGTATTGTATTTTTAACATGCTTCATGAAAATTCTGATACTCACATTCTACCTCTGCTTATCTTGTGCCTTTATGAGAGGCTCAGTGGGAATAGTTGCTGCTTTACAAGACAGCTTAAGAAAAGTGCAGTTCTGATGTTGTTTCTTCTCGTTTTTTTTCTTTCTTCAACTGAGCAAAAAATCAGTTTGGTTATTATGAGGCTGTTCCGGTGGTGGAAGCCAGGGGCAATTTTAAATAGACAGACAGATGGATGGAAGTGTAGGATTAGGCAGGAATCAGGAACTGTGTACTCTTACTCTTACACAAAGAGCCCATAGCTGTCTACAGGGTGGAGCCCAACAATATGAAATATCTTCTGGGATCCCATAAACTCATGTCCAGGAGCATGCTTTCAGCTCCTCAACACCCTCCTTCAGCCAAATTTCTGCATTATTCTGAAGTCTTCAAAAAGGCAGATGAGAGACTGTGTAGATTTTAATTTAACTACTGTGTTTATTATCATGATCAGGCGTGATGATGTTTACCTTGGTCTTTACTGAATCCAAGGCCTTCAAGACATCCTTTAGGTTTTTATTGCATAAACCAAGCTCTAAATAAAAAAATACTTTAAAATCCTAAATAGGTAACACTAGTTTTATTCTAACAGATTCAAGAATAAGAATATGCTTTATAAATGTTGATTAGTTTAGCTTTGCAAACCCACATGAATGTGACAAAATTTAGAACTTTTGAGGAAATAACAGGAAGTTTTGCTTCTGCTTTGCAGAGTAATGCAAACAGGAGTGCAAAAATAATCTGTGGTTCAGAAGTATATGTACTTTGATCATATGTGTTTATCCTTGAAATTCACTTTGAAAGCATTCTGAGAGATGGTTTTGCTGGTATCTTTTTTCAATGTGAACTATGAGTAATGATATTATAGCAGCATATAATATATAATATTATTTTATTTCCTTAATATAACAAAGTCCTTAACAATAGCGAATTCTTTTTCCAGCCTCAGTTGGTTTTGAAAGGCTAAATATGTAATTTGCATGGATTCAAGATTTCTTGGAGTTCTGATTTAGAATTTTCTGGTCTGATTGATAGTACTAGCACCTCAAAATGTCATTCTGTGAAAGTTCACATCACTGTTAATGAAGTGTATAGCAAATATGAAAGGTGTGAGCATTGCCTGTTACAAAGGTGGACGAAACACCACAAGCTCACTAGCGCTCATGCCTTTAAAGCACAGCTCTTCTTGAAAGCTCCGTGGATGAAAGGGGGATTTTGGTATAATGCCGATGTAGAAGCATAGGCAAAGCTGGCAACATCGACTAAATCAGGATAAGAGACAGTTACCTCTGCCAATTTAACAGAAAGATGTATTTTTCCTAGTCCTCACCACTGACTGCAGTTTTGATAAGGGATGAGACACACATGTTTTCAGTATGTCAGTAGCTGACCTTCGGGAAAACAGTGACAATGGCCAAGCTATCCGGCTTGTTGAAAGCCTCAGCTACAGTTGAATACTTGTCCAGGTTCCACTGAGTGAGATGAAGCTAAAAAGCAACTGACAGCATCATTTTTGCTGATTCTGTTACAAGGAAATGCCACAATTAGAGTAAAATAGAAACGCCACTCTGGACTCGTAGAGTCTGACCGTGAAACTGAGAACGTGCTTGTGAATGCCTGCAGGTTTATGATGTCACAACTTTAAAGGGATATATATTTTTCTAACTCTACTGCTAACAGTCTCCTGTGCATGCCTTAATTTCCGTGTCTTTAAAAATGTAATACATTAAATAGCGTTTTGAGGAGCATAACCATTTTATTACACACGGTGCACTGTTTATTCACAAGTCCCATTTGCTGCGAGAGGTTGATGGTATGTGGTGCACTGTTTATTCACAATAGTCCCATTTGCTGCGAGAGGTTGATGGTATGCCCATGAACATCACGGCTGCAGATGGTTTATATTCAACATAGATATTTCAACAACTTTACAGTTTTGACAGTATTTGTTTTCATAGAGTTTTGAGGAACTTTTGTTCATCCTAGTATGTTGCTTATCATATCTTGAGCCACTTTTCACGTGAAATACAAATGTCCAAAAAACTTACAGAACTTGGAAATCATAATAATTTCTTTAAATGCCTTCTCACTTATGAATATGCTTAGCAATTCTTTATCAGCTGTGTAACTCTGTGGCAATAGTCTAGCCCAGGATTATTTGTATAATATTTCAGAGACATGGTCACAGAAAATATGAAAACTTCTTAAAATACAAGGAGATTCTAAAATATAAAGACAGAACATGGAAATTACCCTATAATGCACATACATTTAAAATTCTGATTTAAATCAGATTTAAAAAAAAAATCTGTTACTTTAAAAATCTGAATTCCTGTTCTTTCAAATTAATAAATTAATTAGCAAACTAATAAACACTTAATCATGTGCTGCTTAAACACAGCTGAAGTGCACTATCTCTTTACAGCAGAAAGCAATTCTAAAGGGACACCCCTTTCTTATCTTGGCTGTATCAAATGTGGTAGCTTTAGCACTCTTAACAGCGGAAAGTTTCCTATTAGGAACACACTTCTGGCTGCATGTTCCTAATGCCTCAATTAAAAACGTATCATCCATCTCATTAGATTGTCATGTTGTAAGGTTCCTAAAATCTAAAAAGCTGCCAAAGATAACATTACATGGATTGAACATGAATTGTTTGTTGGCGTGTTGGTGAGCATTAGCAGGACGCTAAGACATTGGAAAACAAAAAATCTGTTACTTTAGAGATGTTTTTTGATTCTTGTAGAACAGACCTTGCTTCATTATCTGAAGGCATTTAATGCACTTGACAACCACTGGGGCTCTTATTAGATAACTTTTTTATCTCGTTCTCTTCATTAATTTCTTCTGCATTTTCTTCTTATTTGCTTGCTGTTCTTGAAAAGCCAGGAAAAAACACCTTAAAGTGATCAGCATGCTTGCAACTTTGAGGAGCTCCAGCTACAATTATAGTGGGCATTGGGTGATTAGACTCTCTAAAAAGAAGCTGATTTAGCCTTAGGCTGAATGTACTTGCACAGCTGACCTTTTTAACATTTAGCAGATGTTTCTTTTATACCTGCACCTTTCAGGCCTATTTAATTATTTAAATATGGATTTAGATTATCTAAATTTAGATGAATAGTTACTCACCACAATACCCAAGTAGCTTTTGCAAAGTCAACTTTGCCCTTGCAGAGATGGTATTGCTTTTGCAAAATAAAATAATTATCAAAGCTCTCTACATACTTTTTTTTTTTTTTCCCTAGAGATGATCTATGTGACCAGACTTTGAAAACTTGACTTTGACTTTTCTTTCATTGAGTCTACCTCTGAGGCATATTTCCTTCCATCCACTGTGTGCTCTGAGCCTTGCTTATCCGTTTGGCCCCAATGGAAATTAAACTGCCACAATCTGTATGTTCCAGTAATAGGTCCACCTATCAGCACTGCAAATGCGTGAAGTAAGGTAAAAACATTAATCGATGAAGTCTTCCTGACAGGCAAGTTATAGAGTTCAAGGATTCTATAATGTGCAAGCAGTTTTCTCCATTTTAACATGTTTTGATATTATATTATTTTTAGAAATTTGGAGAAAAAAAACCACAAACAAACACAGTTTGTGCAGTTAAGCCGAAGTTACCGAAGATTTTAATTCTATGTATGTATATGAGTGAATTGGTTATAGTAAATCTGCAGTGTCCTCAACACAGTTCCAAAATTCAGGTGAAACATATGTGAATACACCTTCTACTTCAGAGAGAAAACAAAAGGAAAAGTAATGTAGAAAAGCAGCAATTTGCCAGAAACAGTAAATAAATTTTAATAACTGCAGAAGAAACAGTCCTACCTCATGGAATTCACTTCCCACTAAAATTTGTATTATTTATGACAGTATTTTAAAGACCTCTTTCTTTACAGAAGTAACAGTTATAGCTACTTGTTGTTTTCTGAATTTAGATTATGAGATGCCACAGGTATACTGAGATGTTATTGACACTTTCTATTTGTCATTATCATTAATTCATTGCTTACAAGCACATAAATGTGTATTGATTACTACCATGGTGACAGGCACCTGTAATTGCGCATGAGGCTTAGAAATATGTGCCTGGAGTTCTCGCAGCACTTGTGATATTATACACCAGCACATCTCCTCCTTTGCTTTCAAGGCAGTAACTCTCTAAGGAGAAAACCTAGTCCAGAGTGATTTCATACAGAGTTATACTGTGAGTAATTTTTACATATCTATAAATCTCCCACCCCATGTTGATTTAAAAAAAAAAGACACAATTGAGTAGCTGCGTTTGGAAACTCTCCTCCTACCTTCCTCTCCCCAAATTAGTGATTATCCTGGAGATTTCCTACGGGGAAATTAATAGTCCTTTTGCCATTAACACAAGAGCACTTGCCAACAAGTCCTAATTTTAAAGAATATAATTTGGATCTTCTGTGACACTTAAAAGGTGTTGCCAACTAGTATAACAAAATTAGCAAGCATACCCTAATCTATGCAAATACTCCTAAAAGGCAACTAGTCTTGTTTTCTATATAAACTAGAGAAAAAGTGAATGAAAAGAGAAAATGTCTCACATTCGCCTCTCCAGATCCCCTTTTTACTAACCTGATTGATTGTCCTTATGCTCAAAATTCATGTGGAATGAACATCCAACTTTGACAATCTCTTTGCATGTGGAAGGTTTCCAAGTGATTCCGAGAAGCCCCAGAGATGCATCTTTTTTGACTTCCTTGGTTTTAATATCAATAGCAGATTGATGGTCTCTGTTGGCAATAGGGTATAACTTGTGCCAGTGGTCAGGCTCTAAAATAAATAAATAAATAAGTGAAGTTTTCTACTTCGAATTCTGTATTAATACTGATTTGATGACACTTTCCCTTGGAAGCAATTGAATACATAATAAAGATACTTGGTATGTTAATAATCCAAGTAATTCTGAAGAATTTTTATAAGAAAAAGAGCTATTCAATGTATTACAAATAAATCTGATTTTCTATTAAAGATAGCTCTTACCATTGTCGCCTTGATAACTCCAGTTCAAACTTGCCATTTTTTTCTCCTTGTAAGGTACTGTTTTCTTTAAAAAGAAACTACTGGTGCTCATGAAAGCTATTAAGACAAGATCTCTGCTTTGATTTTCTTCCAAATTCCTAACTTTTGCCTGGGCTTTTATGTGCCTGCTTAAACAGTAAAGACAGTAATATTTTCTAACTAATGTTTATTGATTTCATATGATTTCAGAATGGCATGAGAAATTGTGATAAGAGAAAGGATTGTAATAAAGAAACAGTGTGGTTTGCAATCCGTTTACTTTTTGATTCAGTACATATATGAAGAGAGATATGAGTTAGATGCCAAATAAAATATACATCATTCTAACTGTTCAAATGTTGTCCAAAGACCTTTACACTAAATTGTCGCAATCCAAAGAATGATTATGGTATAAAAGTGTAGATCACACAGAAAGCCTTTTTGAAAATCCGTGTCAATGATTTAAGACATCTATCTGTGGATTTTAGAACATTAATTTTGACAATCACTAAAAGATAATCAATCTCAGGAGCTTTTAGTGGTGGAAAACAAATAACAATGCCAGTGTGCAACAAAATGGTCAATATGTTACTAAATACTATATTAATATGACTAGCAATGCTCTCATTAATAAAAGAGGAAGTCCAAAGCCTCCTAAGTCCTACAAGCTTCAGATGTTTTGGGAATGATCTCAAGCCATTTTTGTACTGCTGGGAATCTTCAAGGCAATCTTCTTGGGAACTGATACCTGATTAAGTGCATGATTGAAGTCCAACTTCCAAAGTTTTCTCCTGAAGTAGGTCCTGTCTTGTAGTTCAAGAATATTTGCACACACTCACTTATTTCTTCAGTAATAAGATACCATGTCCTGACTCTCTGTTAAAGCTAAAATCTACTAATACATGTAGGATTTTGCCTGGCTTAACTCTGTCTCGTACATGCTTAAAAGCAGGATTGTATTTTTAGAACCATATGCTTGACAAGTACTGCAGCATAGTTAAATAGTTGTGGTATTATCTATAATTGTAACCATTTGAACGGAGTGTATTTCTATATAAAATAAGGTTTATCACAGACTATGTAAGCATTGCCTTGTCATCCTGCGTTGCAAAAATGGAACCTGTTGACATTTTCCTGTTTTTCTTACAGACTATTCTTAGTAATAGGAAACTACTGATATCTGCCTTTGCAGATGTCCGCAGCTGACGTCAGGAACTTCAGATATCATTGTGCAAGTAATGTTATAACCTGTAAAACTTGTGGCATTGATGCCTAGGAATATGACAGCTTTTAGGTACATCTCAGTTATAGGCAGATTCCCATTTTCTGTTTTTTTTTTGTTGTTGTTCAGAAATTGTTTTATCAGAGTGGAAAAATTTCAACGGAAAATCACCACCACAAACTTCTGCTGAAAGAGAGACAGCTTCACCTGCTTAGTCCCTGACCAATTTCCTAGTCAGATTACTAATATGATATCAGTGTTTCGCTACAGCGTGAAATTTCTGCTTGAAGTGAAGGGTGTAATAAATTACTGCCATGTTTAGCGCTGGAACAGATTCAGGCTGGTGTTGGTGACTCAATTTTGAGGCTTCAGAAACCAAACCTGGCATCAGACACTAAAAAGATGCAGCCCACCACTCTGGAGAACCAAGCTGTATGGCAGGCAGCCCAGGAGCCCCGAAAAAGCCGCCTTCACCTGAGGCACTCAGGACTTGCAGCCTCTCTCCTGCTGCAGAAGATTTAGGGTTTGAGTCCAAGTTACAAGGTTATTAGTGACATGGAAGCGGCCCAGCTTCCTGCTTGTTCCCTAGGACAGCTGGATGTCCTGGTGGGACAGATAAGCCTGGAACATTGGGGCAAAGGTGTTCATGGCTCAAGAGTTTTTCACTTTGAGAATCAGAACACTTTCAAATGTGTTTGTGGGTGTATTTAGCAGCCATCAGTAAAATTTATAAATTCTTTAAAGAACTGTTTTGAAACCGAATGTGTTTCTTGCAGAACAGAAAGGCTTTTGACTAGATCTGATGACAATTATCATCGTTCCTTTGGAATAATGTAGGATGAGTTACTTCACTCCTATGAGAGCCACAGTGCCAACTGCCGTTGTTCACACTCACAGCAGGGTGAAAGAGCCAGAGACCCCGCAATTCCTTGTCTGCTATCAGTCATCTGTAAACAGTGTTGGTCACTGTGAGTTAGTTATATAGATAGTATTAAAGATCTCTTGTCAGTGGTCAAGAACTATTGGCTGGATCACTGGAAAAAACAAGTGACCAGTTAGATAGGACTAATTCAGAGAGATCTGAAACTGTGTTTGTGGTTTGAGTGAAAGAGATGGTGTGTTCCACCATGATATGAGAGCAATATAATATAAAGAAATTCAGTGACAAAGAATATAGAAGAGTGGGGCAAGATGATTTTGAATTTTCTAATAAAGAAAGGAATGAAGTTTCAGGAATAATAGCCAAAGGAAATATAAATCCTGTCTTGTTAGACAGATGCAATGGGAATATAATGTGGAAAAATTGCCATAGTATCTTTTGCTTGATCAGATAATCAATGTCAATTTTCTGACTATGAAAAATATTTTTTCTGCGCGAGGTGAGCATGGCAGAGAGTCAGTAAAATGATCTCTTGGAAGAGGAGCCAAGATTTCAGAACTGTGACCTTTTTACTGTCTCATCAGCCAGGCTCTAAAGTAATTCTAGACCTCCGATTTAAATGCAGCAGGCTGTGTGTGACTGACACAACAACTGGTTTGCTTCTTGAAACCCAACACAACTGGTTAATGATCCCTCCTGTTACACCCTTTTATACCTCCCTAAGTGCACTTCAGCTTTTAACTATGACTCTATCACTGTTGCTAAAATACTTAATTATTAGTATTTCTTAATTAAAGTCTAAGCTGCTGGTTCTTACAACTTTACATTAAAACCTGTCAAAAACAATTTATATTTTTTCTTCATGAATGTAAAGAATAAGGTTGATGTTATGAAGGAGCTTTTGATCTCATGAAGAGCTCATGAACGAGGATTCAAAGGAAAAGAATCCAGTATTTCTTTAAATAGACTTACCACTTTTTTTAATTCCTGAAGTTACAATGCGGCTGTATGATCAGCCTTTCTTCAGATGACACAGAAATTAGGTTTGACTTTAAACAAAGTCCCAGGAAATAAGGTGGTGCAACTTAGGAAGGGAGGATGATACCATACTGCTCGTTGCACAGCACTTGCCATTTGGGCGATTTCTTTCAGTTCTTTCATCTACCTGACAAAAATAATTTCAAGGCTTTTTACAACTTAATGCTAGGAGGAAAGACTTCTGAACTCAAATAAGCTGAGTTTAATTTTTTTCTGAAATAAAAGCTTTTTACAAATTGCAATAGGGATTGAAGTAAATTATCTACAAATGTAAGTTAAAATAATAGGATTTAAAGCATTTTATAATTATTTTTGTGGCTCTTGTGCATTCTGCCAGAGTACTTGTAGCCCAGACATCGTCATATTATACTAATGCATTAGAATAATGGGAATAAATTGCTGAGACAGCAACCACAGAAAAACATCCCAGCAACACAGGGCATAAGAAGGCTGAGGATCACAGATGACAATAAGCTTCTTAAAACACAAGCCTGTACTCCATCAACCGCTGATTATTGCCTCCACATTTTAGGCTATCCACACTCTGCAGGGAAAGTGTTAGCACCTTTCCAGGAAACTGAGATCAAAGAAATATGATATTCTTGGCAAAACCTTCACAGCATAAATAGAAGTGGATCCCTGGCTTTCCAGATGAGTGTGGGCAAAGTTTAAACGTCTAAAGCTCTGAACTTGCAAACTGCTATAGATGTATTTAACTTTATGCATAGCAGGACATCTATTGACCTTATTTACAAGTACGAAATTAAAAATGAACACAGTATATGAATAAATACAAAATAGTCTTATTTTAAGGACACTGGCCGGAAAAAAACAGAAAACTTTTCTGAAAAATATATTTACAAGAACGTTAAAAGGAAATTTTTCATTTTTTAAGTGTCAAACACTACTTATCTTGATAGTGAATATCTTTGAGAAAAAAAATCCTACAAAAAATTTCATAAATGTTTCACTAGCTCTCATAGTTAATGTTTTTAGTTAATGTTTACAGAGAATCAAGATATTGCTATTTGTAATGCTCTGGTCAAAATTAAGATGTATTAGATAATCTTCCCCTATAGCTATTGTAAATAACCTAATGGGAGGAAAGTCGCACAGTTATAAAAATTTTGGAGTGAACTAGAAGGAGGATGCTTCCAAGCCATCAGGCATCACTGGATCTGAGGAAGCTAAGGCTATGCTTGTGCGAAGTATTGCATAAGGTGCAAAAGATAAGGATCACCTTAAAAACAAAGAAGACCTAGTAAATATTGGCCTGTGGCATAAAGGCAGGAGATAATAGGACCCCAATGGTTGTGAAAGAGCTATTATTTTCTCATATTACCTCGCATCTGCTTCCTGCACCAGGCTTTGCTAATGGGAAAGATAGAGCTCAGTTTGTCTATGCACAGCTGGTTATTGTGGATAGGATTAAACCTGGCCCCTCTTTGCGAGAGGAAAAGCATCAACTTAACTGGGGAATTTTATCTGCTGTGAGCTACAGCTTTAGGCTTTTAATGTTAACTGAGCATTTAATTGCAAGTGATGAAAGATAATACATCTCTATTTTTATCTGCAATCAGACCTATAAAATATAAAACTATCTGTCCTGTAATTCCCTGTCCCAGTTATGAGAATAGCCATAGTCTGAAGCATGCAAAAAAGGTTGTGTCCAAATAACGAAGTATCCATAATCTTTTCTTGTTAATAGATGTTCTGTGAGCCTATGTAGTCCATATTTTCTAGTAAATACCAACAAAACATTATGCATCTCATATTCAAGGAATGTATTGAATTTGGCCTAATACATTTAATAATCAGAACAGATTTGTAGCAGGGGGATGATAACCAAAAATCAAACTCATATGCTGGACCTAGCATG